ACTGCATCGAGTTTCTCGCTAACAAGAGTCAAAGGGTCATCACGCGGTTGGTGTTAGTCCAGCAACACTGCACTTTGAAGATGCGAAGCGCGTGCCAAATGATGTGATCACTCTGGAGAGGTTATTCAGGGATGATTGGGCCGCGCGCAACATCCTTAAACTGCAAGACTGTCGTCCGCTTAATCAAGGTGAATTAGCCTTTCACCAGACAGCACCTCTATTCCTGCATCGTGGGATTCCGCGAGGGAACACTCCATGATAGAGTCCACGACGAGTATGAGCAAAATTGAGGATATTGGTCAACACTAACAAACGCCACTTGTCGGAAAGCTATCCGACAGGCTACCGTAGATCCTGACGAGGCTTTTGGTGATCAAGTACAGGGCACATAAAATGTTCTCATATTTCATGGGAACACCTTTCTGCACAAGTTTCTTGACCAGGGTGAATCGGTTGACTAAGTCAAACGCACTCTTGAAGTCGAGGAACACACCCTGCCGACACAAACGCTTGACAGGCGCCCGAAAACGTTCCCATGACACATTTCTGGCGGTCGTGAGCGCCTAAATTTAGTCCCATTTTGGATTAAATTCGGGCGCTCAGTATAATATTGCAACCACATTCACCCATACATGTGTAACTATTTTCCATTGCTTTAAACCCAATTCGACAATACTTAATTGGTTGCTGACGAACAACATCTTGCATTCCATACATTATTTCTCCGTTTGGGAATGTGGTGTTCAGTGCTGAGCGTCCGAATTTAGTCCCATTTGGGACCAAGGTCATGCCTAAAATTCGGTGCTTTGCGTGAACATCGCTAATTCACTTTCTTTGCAAAGACGTTCTTCGGTACCGCTAGCAGTACGTTCTTGACGAATTTTTTCAAGGACTTCCCGCCCAGTTGCCCGAAATAAGCCGTCTGAAACGTGACATGAATTTGGTCATTACCAAGTTCTTCATGTCCTCGTCTTCGGCGTAAGGAGCTCCTCGACTGAGTTCATTGGAAGACGCCCAGGACTGATGGCAGCTGTCCTGTTACTGACAAAGAATGGGGGGGGGGGTTGAACAAACATGAACTAAAGTGATTAAACGATGGTGCGGTAGAACGCTGTTTGTCAGTTTCGGCCGCCAGCATCTCGGCTGAGGAGAGTAGTTCCAGAGAGTGGGAGTGAGCGGAGAATTGTTGAGACATGGTTCCCTAGGTTGTGTGAGCATGGTGCTTCCCGGTTACCCAGGCGGAAGAAGTGGTTCGACCAAGGGCACCATCCCCTGAGCCTTTGGTCATTAAAGACCTAATCCGCTTGTCGGCGGGAGCGATTAACATATACCGCGAGCCGTTTTGAACCGGTTATCTAGCTAAAGATAACAGGTTTCGAGTAGGAACAAGCTACTCAGGGCGCCCAGCAAGGAGCTCAGGATTCTCTGGGCCACCGAAATCGCCTCCAAGCACGAATGTCGTTAACGGTCGGGTAGCTCATACGCCTTCATAGAAGCCGACGGCCATCGAGTTTGTTCATCCACCCTCCGTTAAGTAATCACTTTTGTGACCAGAAGTGAGTGGTCCGTGACTCTATAGCCATTGACATTGGCCTTGACACAGCGTTTTACGAGCTCTTGTGATATTTGATGAGGAACCTGGTGAACGGCCCAGAACCCAACGCTCTAGGACGCTGCCGCTGATTGTCGGCGGCTGCTTATTCATCTTGCTTACGAACATCGGACACTTATTTATAATTACCTTCGAAAAGAAAACATTCCCCGACCCGGAACCTGTGGACGCGCCTAGTGACGTACACCTCCGCCGAACTAACTTTGTATTTTTTTACCGTATTTTTTGTTTTTTACTGTAACCTGATCGAATTGCTTTTCGACAACATCTGGAGTGTTGTCGTCTAGCTAATATGTTGAATAAGTGATTGAACCACTAGTTGTCGGAAGGTCATGGACACTTCTTTATAAGCCATAACACGATCCGCAGGGGCACGTGACACGCATTTCATGGAGACATCTGTAGCAGGTGTCGGATAGAACTGAGCTATTTACATAGTCTATTGTTTCCTTGCAATTGAGGAAAACGGTCGGCCTGCAGTAACACTGACGCTGCTCAGATGTCTACCGCTTTAGTATAACTGAGCAGTCAGAGACAGAGCAGAGTGCGAAACCGAGACCTGGGAAATCAGGCTTTATTCGTCTGTGGATAGAGACGAAAGCTAGAAGTGTACCGGATAGGGGAAGTGTAGTGGCAACGACACACGCAAATATGCATAATGTCACATTCTACCCCACTGATGTTTGGAAGGAATCATGTAGTAAATAAAGGTTGCCATATAGCGTGAGCGGTGTATGGCAACAGCGTTATTAAAGCTTTGTGATTTGTGCGTAGCCATATTTCACGCGAGAAAAGAGTTAGCGGTCACTCCTCCATATTTCTAAGATAATATGGACGTACGCGCTGTTGAAGTGCCTCAAGTTCGTTCCTCGGGGACAACGGCTCCGTAAAATTTGGTTCAGAGTGATCCGGATGCATTTCGGTTTCGTCACATACGCACTCTTGGTCCTCCTCTCCGGGTACGATTGTTTCTTCTGGATCGATGTTAACTTTATTTTCGTGCTCGAGCGGTTGATCGCCCATGCGTGCCAATTGTCGGATGGATACCGTCTCCTCTCTCCCATTCAAAAATTGCACGTGTACGTATTGAGGGTTACACTCGATAAGTTCCACCTGTTCTACAAGAGGATGGAACTTGGTGGACCGGACATTCTTCAACAGAACCTGACCCGGTGAAGACATCCAGCTAGGAATAGAAAAGCCAGACGACGACTTCCGATTATGTTTGAAAACGTCTCGTTTGGGGTCACCTTTGTTCCAGTGCATAGAAGCGATCGAATTGAACGCAGTCCATCTAGTAGGACAATCTCCCATTAATCGACTGGGAGATTACGGGAGCGTACGGCCAGAGAAATGGCTCTCCACAATGTTGCATTCAGGCCTTCTACTTTCCCATTAGCTTGTGGATGATATGCGATTGTTCGACTTGTTGTTCTTTTGTTATGAAGTAAGTCACGCAGTTCACGAGACATAAAACAGCAAGCTCTGTCTGAATGAATGTAGGCTGGTATGCGAAATATGGAAAAGAGCTTAAAGAGTCGGCTTATCACAATGGAAGATGTCAAATCGGAACATGCGAAAGCGAACGCAAAACGAGAAAACTCGTCCACAAAAGTCAACAGATAGCGATTTCGAGAATTCGTGGGAACTGGGCCTTTAACATCAACATTGAGGCGTTTAAGACTGAGTTGCTCTACCTAGCTGTCACAAAGGGGGTTGGAGAAACCTTGGTTTCAACACAACAAACACCGCGATTCAAAATCATGGATTTGATTTCGGCCACAGAATGCGGTAGGTTTTTGGCGCGGACGAAATGAATCATGCGAGTTATGCCCAGGTGACACAAAGAATCATGGAGTTGCTTTAGGTCCAGACTGTCAGATGAGCTGCTGCAGCAGGTACCTCAGAGTATGTCGGCTCCATGATTGAACGTACCGGGTCGGTATATAACATCGCAGTGAAATGGCGCAACTTCAAGCCTCCAGTGCAGTATTTCGTCGTCTTTAATTTTTTTCTGGTTCATACTGTTGTACAAGGTCACAGGACGTTGATCTGTGATTTGCATAGTGATTACCACATAGTAGGTGCCGCCCTTTTCGCACTGCCTCAACGATCGCGTAGGCTTTTTTCCACCGAGGAATGGCGCTTCTCAATGGAAGATAATGTGTGAGAAAAGAAAGCTATCGGCCTTCCGTTTTAGTTTAAGGTAGCTGCGATAGCTACATCAGAAGCATCCGTTTCAACTACTAACGGTACGTGAAGATCGACAGTGATAAGTACCGCACTCTTCAGTTCCTCCTTCAAATCCTCATAGTACTTTTGGACGGACGGTGGTATGGGAAATTGTGCGTTGTGAGCGAGTGAACCAATTTTATCAGAGAAATGTGGTATCCATTGGGGTAGTAAGCGAACATCCCTGTCACTCTTCATTGAGCCTTGATGTCAGTGGAAGGCAATTCCTGCAAAGGCTTCAATCGCTCGGAATCGGTCTTAATTGTTCTTTTCGAAATTCCATACCCTAGAAGTCCGACCGGTGGCCGAAGTAGTCTGCGCGTTTGGTTTGTAACCATAAGGTCACCGGTTCGAATCCGCGTAGGGATGGGCGTTCTCGCGGTACACTCAGCCCGCGCACGACTGGTTGTGGTCGCGCGGCAGCGAAACGCCGTGCAGTGTTGTGCGGTGTTTTCGGGTGGGCAACACCCAATTTCCATCTGCCACGAAGAAGCCGTTTCATGAAATACCACGCGTTAGTGAAATTTCTGTTTCTCACAGAGCTTTGTGCCATCTTGAATACCTAAGTCGGGTTGAGTAATACCGAATATCTAGGTTGCTTTAGTCGACAACGAATTTTGTTCATTTGTCCGGACCCAGTTTGCCGACCGCACCTGGCGTGACAGGATGATCGATTTCAAAGACCGCAAATGGAATGAACCCAGAGTTTAGGATTGCACATCTACCTTCTCCCTGCTTTTTCCATTTTCTACTTTTTATTGCATTCTCAAGCTGTGTTGGCTAAGGTACTGAATCTGCCGCACGTCGGCACGTGGATCATAGTAAGCCAAACTGAGCCCTACTTAGCCATTTTAGACTGACCCCAGTCACCGCGGGGTCGATTTTGTCCAAAGCTTCCTTCCTCTGTACTCTTACTTGATTTCAGAGAACCGAAGGCGCCTTAAATATCATGAGCCGCAGACATCAACTGCATCATGAGCTGTATTCACACTCTTGTTGATGATATCGGTGCACCGTTTCTCCAACTACATCACCGCTTTCTGGATTCGTCTTGCCATAAGTTGTCAAGTTTCCTTGGCTCTGTTCTGTTTGTTTCGACTTATTTTGTTGACTACTATTTTCCCACGTCGCCTTTGCCTTCTGGTTTCACCAACAGTGAGGAGGACTTCGATGCTGTTTATCCAGAATCCGCTCTGACCTACGGGCCAACCATTTGCTCTTTCGGGCTGAAGTATAATGATCACAATTATGCTCTTCCTTCGGGTTTGACGCCACCTTCTATGGCACCACATCTTATGGATCTGCAACACCCGCGGGATAAGACTACTGGGGACCACAGACTTGACGCACCATACCTTCGAGCTGTTTTCTCCGAAGAATTCCCTAGATCTAGGAGACCCATGGAAAGATCAGAAGGATACCTAGGGACGGAGTCTGCACATGAGCACTCAGTTTCGGATGGACCGGAGCCTTGCATGTCTTCTGGTGCCACCGGTGATTCAGAAAATGGTCTCGAATCGAGGCCGCGTCTATTGAATCCATGGTTATCATCTGGTCGACCAGCCTCAGAGTACGGACCAGAGGCCTACTCGCAAGACATTTCTGCAATGTCAAAGTACAACAGACTTTCAGGAACGTTTGAGAAGATTGAGATGCGCTACGAACCGGAACTTAAGGTAAGTGTTAGTTTCACTGTGTCATGCAGGTTGCTGTTCACTTTCGAAATAATTTTTTGTGTATCTGAATTCGTTTAGTGTGGTGCGAGAATTACCCTGGGCGAGGTAGAAAAGCTTGAACGGGTGCAGCATGTAGCCACCAGTCTGATTCCCAACTTACGAGGTATGCCATACGAAGACCGATATAAGCAACTAGGGCTGTACACCCTAGCTTATCGTCGGCTGAGGGTTGACCTCATCATGACGCACCGGATATTACATCTGAGTGATTACCCCATGTTGAGACAACTGCTTCATCTGCGCACACCAAGCTGCACGCGAGGACACCGGTATAAACTTATCGTACCGGAGTTGAAGCGGGTCGCTCACCAACTCTGTTTCGAACGCAGAGTGGTGAATGTCTGGAACGACCTGCCGCAGCACATAGTAGAGGCGAACTCAGTGTCCGAATTTAAGAAGCTCCTGGACAAACACGTTGCAGAGGCAAAATATAGAGAGCGTAATGATAAATAAGGAACATATGTCCAAGAGCGACGAATGATGCAGCTCTACTCGCTGCTTCGAACCAGTGTTCAGTATTCTCACTTGACTTGAGGTTGCCTTACCTCATGAGAACATGTCTAAAAATTTTATTTTGCAATTTGTACTTTTTCGAATATCTTGCTGCATTGTATTGCGATACGATAGCTAAGATATTTCTCATCTCCAGCTAACTTGTAGAATGACCAGTTGAATGACCAGTTGACACGGCTTCAAAACGACATTCCGCTGCGTTCCATACAACGAAGAGAGACGGAAACCATCAGCGATGAGCGTCTTGCTTCAGGAGAGTCGGTGGCCGAAGGGATGAAGCCTGTGCTTTGCAGCTCAGAAATATGCGATTCTAATCTGTGTAGCTAAGGGCGACTACGTAGCATCTCCATCCCACGCGTGACTAGTGGTAGTCACATAGCAGCAGAGTGTCAAGACTTCGTGGCGGCATACTGCTGATGCCAGCTATGCGCTACATTGATAACTAGCACACGCTTAGCCAGCCATTCAGTAAGCTTGTAAGAGACTGCGTGGACATTCCTAGTTCAACAAATGTTCTAGCTCACAAGTAGGCAGACTTCAGCATCAATCACTCAATGTTACTATCATATAAATTTCTCACATCGCAGGCACTCATATTCTTCTGCGGCCATCCTCCTAGTCTTCAGCATGCAGTTACAACGACTCTAATAGCTCCAATAAAACTAGTAACATTGGTTCCACTGCTAGCTCCTTGGTTTTCTTAACTGAGAAATTCCTGTAGATGTGGGTGACTTCGCAATATGCCCAGTTTTTAACGCGATTGTGGGTACTCAGGTGCCATCGAAGTGTCGATACGATGTGCCGGTGTACTGCTGACATCTTTCTCACTGACTAGCTTATGGATTTAAGGTCTTTGAATGTGGTGGAGTTCAGGAAGTTGATGAAGCGTGAAGATTTAGTCAATGCAGTTTTGGCTTAAGCTAAAACCGGCTTGTTCCTCTCGGGAAAACTCTCCACAGTCAACGAAACCACACTAAATAAAGCGGGCGTCAACATCTTGTATGCAGAGATCAACGAAATTCCTAGTTAATTGGTGCAGTCGTTGCGGGATCCTGGTGGACATGGACAAGACTGATTCCCTCCAAGGGTTGGACAATTTGATTGGGTAATTGGTGGTAGGTAGAGACAGTTCCCCGTAAACCGTCGACAACGAAGTGATTGGCCCGTGCTGATAAGATGGACTGAATCGATGGCAACTTCCAACTCAAGCAAGGCTGCCTTATAGAGCTCTTTGTATATGTCAATCTTATAGCGCTTAAAGAAGCCTATTTTTATGGCCAATACGTCCTCTTGGGATAGAACCTGCCTAGATTTTCACTGACTTAATTTTCACGAGAATCAGTGAATCGCCGAAGTATCATGCTTTTGAGCGGTTTCTTGGTGATATCAATTCATCAGACTAGTACTTCGATGTTCTTCATGCAAATTCCTGTGACTTCTAATGATGGGCGTGACTTTCTGGGATCGCCACCACTAAGTTGGACATGTCTTTAAAGTCCTCGTCTCTAGGCGCCTGACTTCCTTTCATCAAAGCATCGTCTTGCACAGGGTAAGGTTATTTCGTACATGACGCCATATCCTACCAACTGTGTCGTTCTTTGGAACCCTACTCAATTGTTCAGTCATCTAATAGAGACACTCAACTATCCATCTTCCTCAACTATTTTCTGGGTAATTGAAAACTGCCTTAAGCAGCTGCTGCAGATGAATTTGGAAAATACTCGACTGTTCTCAGTGTAGTTTGCCGCCAACATCAATCAACACCCCCGATCATCTCTAAGACTTAATCAAGTGCTCTTTTACGCTATTCTTAAACAGCGTATCATCCTATCAAACTCTTCAGTGCTTTAGAAACCCATTGACAGTTTAAACTCTTCATGTTTAGTGCACTAGCGGCCACCAGGACCTTTTTGATTGTGCATTAGAAACGATTTCATTCAAGACTTGACTCAACCACTTCGTTCACGATTTACACCCGATATGCTATTTCGTTAAAAGGCTCTGGGTGGATTTCACCAAGCGAAACTCTGTGTTCTCGACCACCTTGTGGGTCAGACTGTCGAGCCAAAGGCTAGAAGTGTGGCACCTTAAACAAAACCCCCCGGAATGTACAGCCCGTATCATCTGCCCTCTCGACCCCGTCGACAATACTCCCTGCTACTGTTTTTCTTTACCTCCCCTCTTTTCTTCCTCGTCTCTTGAGCAAGAGACTGCAGCTGATATCGTTACTGGGGCCATCGGTACATCTAGCTCTTCCATCAAACCTAGAATCTCATTTCACATCGGTTCTTAACGTCCGCACTCTGGGTAAGATTGACCAACAGGCTGCATTAACCCTCACTCTTCACTCTCTTGGTATTAATATGTGCTGTTTCACCGGAACACCACACATGTGACGAATCATCGGTCCTATAATTCCGAATCTTTTGACAAATTCACTCTTCACGTATCTGGCCATACTGAATCAGTGGCTCAAAAGATTTACGGTTTGGGTATCGCTCTCAGCAATTTATTCGACTGGATACCGGTGAACAGCCGCATGTGTGCGCTTCGACTTTGAACCTCCATTGGGGCTAATAATCACCGTTAGTAATCGCCGTCCGTTTATACCCTACTGACTGCAATTCGGTATTTACTAAAGCTTTCTATCGCCAGCTCTCACCTTTTCTTCGCATGGCGAACAAGACAGATATCGTGTTTGTTGCTGGTGACATGAATGCACAAGTGGGTCGCGTTGGACAACACATGTGGGCCGCTTCGGGGTCGACGCATGTCTGACAGACAGTGGGAATCGATTCCTGCAACTGTGCCCCGACCACAATCTTTATGTTAACAGAACTTCTTTCCAGCACAGACGCTTACATCGTGTTACTTAGCGTTCATTGAATTCCTCGATGACTTGGACTCAAATTGACCAGATCACCATTGGCTACCTACGACAGATGACGCACATCAGTCCTTGACAGTTTGTCAATTTGGAGCACGCCTTTATTGCAGCCACGCTCTAGTGCGCGCACGCCTGGCACTCGCTCTCTTCGCTTCAAAGAAGCACCTACTTTCTAATTTTCCTACCTGTAACTGGGACTCGCAGTTTGCAGTTCAACAATATTATGGCCAGCCGGCCTACCAATTGTTAGTGATGAGTGAGGTTGACGCGCTGAACGCTGACCAGAATCTTCTCAAGTGTTTGTGAGACAATAGCTGAAGAAGATGGGGGAGTTAATCCATTCTCTGTTTCTTCGACTGTCCATTTGGGTGAAATATTTTAAATTCAGTGCAGTAATCCTGTTGAGACACTGCCGCTCGCTAAATCATCTGAGCTGACTTGGGAATTCGATGTCACACACCCCACTTTAGAAGATATTAGACATGAGTCCACAATGCTGAAACGAGACAACGCTCCTGGAACGGAAGACTATCTCCGCTGAAGGATGGAGGTGCCTCTTTGATGATTGGACTTGCTGCTATATTCAGCACTTTTTTGGGATATTGAAGAGACGCCTTCAGAGTGGCGATCGTCAACTGCCCTGCTCATCGTCAAAGATGGCCAACAGACTGTGCGAAAATCGTCGTGGCATTATCCTTACCTCCGTGGCCTCTATATTTCTCGTGGCTATCATACTTCGGCGACTTACTGGTCCACATGAGAACGGAACCACTGAAAGCCCGATTGGCTTTCGCTCTGGTTGTAGTTGCATCGATTACATATTTACTCTTGGTCGATTGTTAGAACAGCAACACACAAACGACCGACTTGGGTGTTTCTCGGTGACACAGAAGCCGCCTTCGACTCTGTTGATAGTCTCAACTTATGACACTGCCTATCCTTGAAGGAGATGCCTAGAAAGCTTTCCGTCCTAAAATTCTTCACTGTGACTCCCGAGTCCGGCTAAAGGTCAACGGAACGCTGTCTCATGAGTTCCGCTCAACAAGTGGGGTCCGTCAGGTTTATCCTAGATCTACTTTCCTTTTCAACTTTGTGATGAAATGACCATGAATTACTCAGTTCTTTCAAACTCTTAAGGAGCGGAAGTTCTGTCCTCCCGTAGCCATAGGGATCAGAAGCTTGACTTGCAATCCGAAGGCGAGGTTTCGAGCCTGCGAAGGGACCGGACGACTCTCACAGTGTTCTTAACCTGCGTGCGACTGGTAGTGACTGCGCGACAGCGAAGCGTCTTTACTGCGTACCGGCGTACTGTTGATGCCTTCTGCTAGGTGACCGACTGACAAGTCTTGTTTATGCGGAGTTTGCTGCTGTAGCTGTGCAAACACTACTGAACAAACCGATGCATAGCGCTGCATACTACAGCATGTGTTTCGTACCCCCTAAGTGCAAAGTTCTTATAATCTACCTCTGCCTGCGCGATTCCGGTTGAACTGCAATCGTTCATCATCATCATTATTATACACGTTAGTTGCAGGTTTAA